AAGATGGGCACGGATTTTAGCCCAGGGCCAGTCTTCCTCAGCAAAAAAAGGAGGACTGGCATGGATGTTAGCTCAGGGCTAATCTTCCTTACAAAAAAAATATATATATATAGAAAGAGACGGAAAGTTAGCATATCACAGGAATCCGGTTATTAGTCTATGATATGTCAGGGCACAAAAATAATCGACTGAATGGTGGAAACAAAAATAGAATTAAAAAGTCTAAATACTAAAAAGTAAGAGAACAGTTAAACAGACCATGATATTATATGATCTGGTATTAAACAGCCATTAAAGACCCTACTACAGATTATTTGATGTTAAAGAAAAAAATGTTCATTGTAAAGTAAGTGAAAAGGGAAGACTTTCATGTACAGAAAAAAGAATCTATACCTGTATACACGAATTGAAATGATACTTGAAGTATAGGCCACAAAATATCCACTGCAGACCTCTTTCAGTAGTGGGATTGCTGAAAAATTTAAATTTCTTCTTTGTGCTTTTTTATGTTTTCCAAATTTTCTATAATGAGCACATGTAACTTTTTTACAATCAGAAGAATTATTAAAAGGAAACTAAGAAAGATAAAATTAATAGAAAAATCCCTTCAAAAATTATTTTACAAGTAGCAGGCTGAAACATACAAGAATAAGTCATACTTTTCAGTTTTCCTTCCCCTCTATCGCTCCTGCATTCAACAGTGCTGACGTACTTCCTGAAACTCCACTTCTTCTAACACCTCCTTCTCTCTGGGTCCTCTTCCAGCTCTCAGGCACCCTTGTTCTTTGCCTTGTTTGTTTCTCTCCTACTGCTGCTCCCTACCTGGGTCTGTATGCCAAGACTGAGGCTTAAGCCCTCTGCTCTCGCTCTAAACGCCTTCACTGGAGGGCCCATCCATTCTCACAGGTGTAGCAATTACTTCTCGTACAGAACTTCCAAGACCTACATCTCGAGTTCTTCTTTGTCTCTTGAATAGCAGTCTTCAAACTCAACTGGAATATTCTATGTCCCTCCACCTAAAATTAATTTTTCCCCAAATTAACTTCCTCTTTTTGGGCCTTCCTATATATATTCATGGATCTATTATGCATTTGTCACCTCACTCAAATTTTAGAGTTATCGCTCTTTCTTTCTCTCTCCGCCAACAGTCAGTAAGTTCTTTGAAATATCTCTTACATCCATCACTTTCTTTCCAGTCTAATCCTAATAAAACTCAACACATCACACCTAAAGTAGTCCAATAAATGTAAGTCTAATTGATCTTCTAAGTCTTCAGTCCCTAGCTTCTCTAAAAAAAGAAAACAAACAAAACACAACCTATATATTGCTGCTGTTGTGATTAACTTTCCTAAAACATTGCTAAAAAAAAAAACAAACAAAACAACCCTGTAGTCTCAAATCACGGTCAAAATAATAGGCTAAACTCTTTAGCCTGGCTTTTAAGGTTCTCTAGTCTAGCCCCTGCCTCCCTGTGTAACAATATTTCCTACCACTACACGACAAAAATCATCCTTCCAAGCAAACTAGTCTATTTATCTTCAAAATGAGCTACAGGAGTATGGAATTAAAACATTTATGAGTTTTTCTGGAAGCTTTGCTGTTTAATGTCACCAACCAATGCTTTATGTGTATAAGACAAAAATAACAGATTAACAGCAGACTGCAAATGTTAAAGCAGAGCCTGGGCAAGAGCCAGTACAAATCAAACTAGGGGCTGTGACATTCTGGAAAAGGCAAAACTGTGGAGACAGTAAAAAGATCAGTGATTGCCAGGAGTTAGAGAGGAAGGGAGGGATGAATAGGCAGAGCACAGAAGATTTTTAGGGCAGTGAAACTATTCTGTACAATACTACAATGGTGGATACTGGAATAGAATATATTTGTTCAAAGCCATAAAAGTACAACATCAATAGGAAACCCTAATGCAAAACTATGGACTTTGAGTGGTAATGATGTGTCAGTGCAGGTTCATCAATTGTACCGAAGGCACCACTGTGGTGCAGGATGCAGTACGGAGGCTGTGCACGTGTGGGGGCAGAGGCATACGGGAAATCTCTGTTCTTTCTGTTCAGTTTTGCTGTGAACCTAAAACTGCTCTAAAAAATGTTTATTAATTAAAAAAAATATATATATATACTTTTAAAAACTGCACACCTAAAACTATTTAAATATTTAATTTCTGTCTTCCATTAAGATACAGACCATTTCTGAGCAAGAAAGTATAACTTCATTTCTGGGATAAGTCCTAATTTCACCTCAGCATCTTTCAAAAGCAAGATATGTCTACACAGGAATTTCAGAAAAGCACATATTTTCAGATTCTTAGTGTTTTGACCAGCACCAGAACCTTCTTAATACAATAACATTTTATTTTAGACTTGACACATAACGAGCAGTGTTAAAATCAATGCTTTCAGAAAATCATTTACTACCAGTTAATGTTTACAATACACAAGAATAACCACGTAACTAGATTACATAAATGTGAAAATTATTTCAAAAAATTGAAAAATTATGGAACTGGAAGGAACAAGAAAGAACACTCAGTTTACCTCCATCCATTGAGGTCTACTGCAAAAAGTACAAACTCCTTATCTGCAAAAATAATCTCCATACTTTGCCCTGTCTGTGTTTCTAGTATCATCTGCTACTTCCCACCAAATGCCTTGTTTCAGATGTGCAGAAACTCAGCATTTCTTATTAATTTGCTAAGTCCTTTCATAACTCTGTGTCTCTGAACATATACCCACCCACACTTAGCAAACTCCTATCATCTTCTGTCACACTGTCTGAATCATAATCACCCAGAAAACATTTAAGAAAAGTTTGAACACAGAACTCTTACTGTGGGATAATTCTAACCAGAAAAAAAACTGCCAAGAAATGCTGAACTTTAGTAGGTAGGGAGTTGTTGTGTTATTGGTATATTAATTATTTTTTGTGTATTGTAGGATACAGCATATGAATAAATATGATTGATGCTGGGAACCAGGGTTTTATTGCAGGAAAAAGGAGATACAAATATGAACTAAAGGAAGATGAGGCAGAACTCTGTGGTGCTCAGTTGACTTGGAGGTACCAGTATGAACTCATTAAAAAAATAAAAGGTACTCCCTGGTTCTGTCCACTGAAATGGCCAATCCACAATGGTAAGCAATAGCAATGAGAATATCTATACCCAGACTTTGTTTTTTTTTAATTTTATTTATTTATTTATTTTTCCCCCAAAGCCCCAGTAGATAGTTGTATGTCATAGCTGCACATCCTTCTAGTTGCTGTATGTGGGACGCGGCCTCAGCATAGCGGGAGAAGCGGTGCGTCGGTGCGAGCCCGGGATCCGAACCGCTAAGCCATGGGGCTGGCCCAGACTTTGGTTTTTAAATTCCATTTTTCCACTAAAAAAAGCAGTCCTAGGGCTCTTGAAAAAATGGTTGGTTCCAGGTCTGGAGCAAGAAAAGTACAAGGCAAGCCTGGGCATCATGTTATATTTAAGTGAAGGAAGTGTTCAAAGACTAAGAGTCATGTCAAAGGATAAAGGAGCCAGCCACTAGTCAAATCTGAAACAATTTTAGCATCAAAAGGAATAGTGATGTACCTAGTTACTACACAGAATAAAAAATAGTGTCAGGTAACAAATATAGAAGAAATGTCAGAATTTTTTTTAAAAAGTTATCCTTTTTTGTAGCCCCCAACGTAATAAATGATACAGGTCAGGATCATTAGTGGATGCTAAGAACAGTGGGTGAAGTTGTTGGGGTATTCACAGGGTCTCAAACAATCATCCTACGGATCACGTGCTAATTATAAAAAGGAAAATAAACCTTTACAATGGAGTGATCTGGCTATCACCACTTCAACCAAGTGACAAAAGTTAGCAACACCAATAGTGGGAAAACCTGATATTATATGCCTCGTGATGCGATGTCATGTGAAGTTCACAACATCTCCTATGCGAGATTTTCCCTAACACTGTTTACCTTGAGTGTAATCATAAGGAAACAATCAGATAAATTAAGAATACGGGAAATTCTACAAAACTACTGCAGAGTCTTCAAAAAAGTCAATGTCACTGAAAAACAAAGAAAACAGGTGGGCATATTACTCTAGATAAAAGAAACATATTAACAAACTTTGATTGGATCCTGGATGATAAAAGTAAGACAAATACTATAAAACACATTTTGAGGACAACTGGAGAAATGTAAACACAGGCTGTATGTTAGATAGTACTGAATTACTGTTGATATTCTGAGGTGTGATAACGGCATGATGGTTACAAAGAACGCCATTCTTAGGAGACATGGGAAATGTTCAGGAGTGAAATGTCAAGATATCTGCACTTACTTTCAAATGGTTCAGCAAATATGGAGCACACGCGGCAAGATGATAACAACTGGTAAAAACAGATGAAGTATGTGGCTATTCGTTACACTATTAAGTTGTTTGTAGATTTGGAATTTTCAAAATAAAAACTTTAGGGGAAAAAAATCTCAGTTCAGATGTCACATCTTCTCAGAAGGTTTTTTTGACTTTTCTAGGGGAATTATTTTTTTCTATTTCCAGTATTCCCACAGGACTCTTCATTCTTCTATTTTAGCACTTAACAGGTGCTAAACTGACTTTCTCCCTAAACTTCGTGGGACCGGTCTCATCTTCACTCCCAGAACTCAGCTGTTTATCTGGCACCTACTAGGTATTTAGTCTTGGTTGTATGAATGAGATAACTGCTATGCCAAAGTGACAGGCCAAAACCGAAATCCAGGTATCGTCTCTTATCACATTGTGCCTCAAATTTAATCAAATCCATCAATCAGGAAGCCTACTAAACGTTTCTACGTGATCTGTCTGTACCATTATAATAGATACCCATATCACCATTCAAATTGATTTTAAAACAGTATAACAACCCTCAAGCAGCCTCATCCTTAAATCATTACAGGCATATTTTCATTTTAAATTCTTTCATAGTTTCGACTAAGAAAATTAGAGAAGATGCATACCTGTTCTATATCCTTAGAGTTGGAGGTCTGGTTTTCTCCCATGACTCCAGCTTGCTCATTTTCCCATGGTAATTTATTTCTTCCTTTTCCTGCACTTAACACCCTTCGGGTACAGATAGTTGGACTGTAAGATCCATAAATTTGCATGCTATCCCTCGTGTGGTCACCACAGTGACAGTGTGCACTCTGAGTTCTATTACCAGCCAAAAGCCAGTCTGTATCTGCTCCATGTGCCAAATGGCTTGACCTACCCTGGGCAGATGATGGCATGAGTATTGCGTATTCCACAAATCCCTCTTCTGTTAACCTTGGAAGGGTTTTCCTAGCCAGTCTGGCCTGCACAGCATTCATCACTCCATCTCCATTATCTTGCAGTTCAACAGTATCCACAGCTTTGAAAAGGATGCTGGCTTTACCTAAACCCATTGATGATGCCAACACAGCAAAGGCTTCGAGAGCTGCTTGGCGTACCCTGCGTTTGCTGTCTACAAGAGCTGGGGCAAGATCAAAAGACAGTTTGGGTAGGTCAAAATCCTCACTGGGATAGGTCAGGAGGGAGCAGATGCAAATGTTCACCACCTCCTCTCTCACTCTAGAATGCTTATGTTTGAGATGTTCCAGGAGTAAACAAAGCACCTGTTGAGGACCTACTTCTTTCATTAGCTTGAGAAAGATTTTCATGTATTCTTGTTTGATCACCAACTTGTTGTCTGCCAGCACTTTGACAGAAGCTGCTATAACTGGTCCCAAGAACTGCTGTACCTGTTCTCCGAGGCGAATAACCAGTAGATGAAGGACTTGAAGTGTGCCATGGACCACTTTGAAGTTAGAATCGTCTAACAAATTATACAGCAAGCTAATGAAACCGACAAGACTAGAATGAGGGACAGAGGTAGGGTTAAATCTTCCCATCACCTGCTTCAATTCCTCAACGGCCTGAGTCCGGTTCTTATAGTCTTCCTGATCCAACAATCTTGAATGCAGCTCCTGAGGAATAATCCCAAATTTAAGATTGCTGTTAAAATCCCCCACTGCACAGGGAAGGGGGTCTTCAGGAAATCCAGAGGCCTCAAGTTCCAAATAATAGGGAACCTGACTTCCAAACTGGGACTCCAGGCGGCGGTTGTAGTGTCTCCTCAGAGCAGACGGCAGGCGAGAGATATAGGATTGAAACCTCTCTTGGCCAAGTCGCTCCCCAATTTGTTGAAGAGCAGAGAAAGCTGTCTCAGATTCTTCCTCTGTCTCCTGATCGCCAAGCTTTCGGGCCAGGGATATTATCACCTCGGTAAGATCCAGGCCGAGCAACAAATCCTCAGGAGTAAGCAAGACAGGAAAGAGCAGTGCTGTGGAAGCCCTCAGCCGGGCATCGCTGCTTTCCAGTCCCTGCTGTATAAGCGTTCTCAGCACCTGGCCAGAACTCCGTTTCAGGCAGATGTGCAGGATCTGCAGCGCATCCTTCCGCAGGGCTGGATTCTCTTCTCGTAAGGAGACGACCAGTTGAGGCAGAAGTGCGAGGCTGAAGGCCTCTTCCAGCTGGCCTGCCTCCCCCTGACCGCGGAGAACGTCGCAGAGGAGCTGCAGACAGAGCCGCTTCTCATCACCGCCTCCTTCCACCAGCACCCGGCCCAGGGCCCGATACAAGGCTTCCTTCCGTCGAGGGAAGCCCAGCCGGCCGCCCCGCCGCGGCAAGGCAGCCTGCAAAGCCTGGAAGGCCTCGGAAGGGTCCGGCGCGGCCCGGAGGAGCTGAAGGAGCCGGCTCTCTTCTTCGTCCCCCCCTGACAAACCCCCTCCAGACCCAGACCAACTGCTTGAGATGGCCTCCGCGGGCATCAGGAGGGTCGGGGCCAGAGGCGAGGGCGTCGGGGGGCAGGAGCCGTGGTCCCCGGCAGCCCCACGGCAGCAGTAGCTTTTCTCGCCTCTCATGGTGCCCCCACCTCGACTGTCATCACTCTCTGGGGCGGAGGGATGACTGCGGCTCTCGAGGCGATAGGCACGGAGGGCTGGCAGGGGAGGCAGCAGGAGCAGCGCGGAGCGCGCGGCCGCCATGGAGGGTAGTCAAGTGGCGGCGGCCGGAGGAAAGCATCGTCTTCCAAGAGCTCGACGAGCGCAGCCTTCCTGTTCCCCTCCAAGCCTCAAGTGCAGAGGAGGAAAAGCAGCAGCTCCAGCCAGCTGCCAGGCCACCCCCGGCTCCGCCAGACTGCCTTCGGCAAAATGGCCCCCGCCTGCGCCCCGGACCCCGCAGCTGCCACCGGGCGTAACCAGGGGCACCACGTGACCAAACCGATCGCTTCCATGGAGATGGACCCAGCGAGGACCCCTTGACCCGGAAATCAACCTGTGGTGGTGCACGCTGGGTCATGTAGTCCACGTCAGTGTGAGGCGTAGGTAGGCAGAGGCTCCTGGGAGAGGAAGTGAGAACGTAGCGAACGTAGCGAGCGTATCTGGCGCGGCGCAGGCGAGGAAGGGAGCCGGCATCGGGCGGAAGTGACGCTGTCCCCGCTCAGGGCAGAAGTTCCCCGCCCCAGCCGTAAGAATTGGGGTTTGACGAGAGGCGAGCGAGGCTCCCGCCTGGGCTCCAATTGTCCACGGCTCCTCCTCCTGTCGCGGCCGGCGGGATTCCGGGGACTCAGGTGTGTGCCTTTTGCTGCGCTCCTGCGGCGCGGGCTCCGGCAGCGTCGTGCCGCGAGCCGCTGGAGGGAGCGGTGCGGAGACGCAGGGGCGCGAGCGGGGACAGCGGCGACATCTTCTCGTGCGGGGCTCGTTGCCGCGCCGAAGGCGCTGCTCCGCAGCCCCGACCAAGTGCGGGCCTCCCGCCGACCGGGACAGGAGGTCCCACCGAGGCCAGGCTCAGGGCTCGCGTACTTTCTTCCAATTCCGGTCTTTGGGGCCCGTGCTCTCCCCGCCGTCCCCCGACCCCCTTGCCCTACTTGGCTTACCCTCGGGCCGTGGAGGTTACTGCTCTCCTGTCGTTTTTCCTTACGCTCATCTCTGAGTTCTCTCTGAAAACGTAGTCCATGGGGGGCGTCTGTTTGCCCGCAGCCGAGCGCCTCTCCCTGTGCGTCCTCGGAGGCTCCGATGCGGTTCCCCTGGGGGGCCCAGCCCTGCCCCCCGCGCCCTGCGCCCCCGCCTCCCCGCAGGCTCCGCGCGGCTCTGCAGCCTTGAAGCTCCTGGAGACCGAGACTGCAAAGACGGCCTCAGTGGCGGGGGAAGTTCTCGGCATCACCGTCCTAAGCGAGTTCTGCCTTGTAGATTTAGGGCTGATAGATCGACGTTTCTTTGTCTTAGGCGAACTGTGGATTTGGGGAGCATTTTCTCCTTGTAAATGAAACTTAAGCGGACACAATTGGAGACCTGGAGGGTCTGGTGAGAGGCAGAATGTTTTGGAGTTGGAAGAGAGTTTTTTTGATGGAATAATACAATTACTTTGAATGACCCGGTGAGAAAAGTCTGAGTTAGCATTTGAAGTCTCCAGTGTATGTACTTTAAATGCAAGTGTTCCCACCCTGCTCTGTACCACGTGGGGTGTCTTTTAAATACTTTCCTAAGTCTTAGAATAATTGAGTCACATATGCCAAACCACTTGATAAATAATGTTGCTGGAAAACGCAAGTTCAGAAATAATTTCTGGATGTTGTCTTAAAGGACAATTTGAATATCATGGGTTTTTTTTTTCTTTTGGGAGTAGAGTAAATGTAAACGAAGCTTATGTAAACATGCATCCTTATATTTTGGTTTAAGTTCTAAGTTGTTACTTTGATTTTAATTAGTTATTTTGGTGTTTAGATGAATCTGCCTAAATTTGCTTTGGCTATTTTTCAGTACACCAGGAAAAACCCCACAACAAATCATTTTCTTATTCATTTTTTATTTTAGGGGCAGAGTAAGGGCAGGGAGTGAAAACCAAGAGATGATTGTAGCAGTTGTCAGTGACTTGGAATGTCTGGTTTTCAATGTAAGAAGCTCAGATTTGTACTTCCACTCATGTATGCTCAGACTTCAGGAACCCGGTTCAAACTAAACTAAATAAGAGAATGATGTACACATTAGAATGTACACATTAGAATGCTAGTTTATGTTGGAATAAAAAATAACCCTTTTCAGTGATCAGAATTTTCAAGTTGAAAATCCAGTGCGCTCTTGCCTGTATCCAAGAACTTGGGAAGCCAAGTTAGTGAGTAGAGATTGTGTGGTGATCATGGAGGCAAAGAAAAGGAACTTGGAAAGTCTTGAATGATATTTCATCATCAAAGTTATGGTAGAAGCTTAAGAATTACCCTTTATTTCTATAGAGAATACTTTCCAAAGGGAAAGTATCATGTTCTTTTCCTTGGAACAAAGCCAGATGAGTCTTCATTTTGACCCGGGTTCTCAGAGCCCTGTAGATCACTATGTTATTGATTGCAACTTATTTTGTATCTGTTACATTTAATTTCCTTGACGAAAACTTGGAAGATGCGTTAGTCTCCATGGTGGATATTTAGAAAATGGGACCTTATCAGCATCACACATCATACTAATTATCTTTTAGGGTTATTTGTGGAAGATAAATCTTGCATATACATTTAATGCATGTTCTGCTTATTTCTTTTACAAAGCAGATTTTTAAAAAATCTTGGAATCCAAGGAATTCCAGGAATTGTATATTGACTAGAAAAGCCTTTTAACAACAAACACATAGATACTGAGAACAGATTGGTGGTTACCAGAGGGGAAGGGGAGAGAGTGAAAGGGGTAAAGGGGCGCATGTGTATGGTGACAGATGGTAATTAGACTTTTGGTGTGAACACGATGTAGTCTATACAGAAGTCGAAATATAATGATGTACACCTGAAATTTATATAATGTTATAAACCAGTGTTACCTCAAGAAAATTTTTCAAAAAACAACTTAAAAAAAGCCTTTTATATTTAATCATTGATAGAGATAGGATAAAAATTGTTTAATCAAATTCCAGAATAGTGGAATACACTATTAGGTGTATTGATAGTACCTCTGTGAAAGTTGAAAGGAGGTAATTAAGGATACATTGGAAATAGCAAATTCTGGTAAAACAAGTTAAAAATATTTAAAAGTAATTTCAAAAAAGTGTAGTTAAATTAATGGATTACAGGAGTATTTGTGATACATACCTTGATTTTTTTTGTGCTGAACTTAAGCAAGATAAATCCAATTGCCCTAAAAACATCTTCTATTTCCACAGTCAGATATAAGATATTAATTGGTTGGGTGAACCATTATAGTTTTTCCTGTGTTCTTACTCAAATTTTACAGACATCCAGGAATATTGGAAATCAGTGTGAATTCTGTAAACTGTTAAAGAATTTTGTATAGTTTGAGAAGTTGCTGTGAAGAAATGCTATACAAATGAAAGGTGCTATTAATATTAACAAGTAATTATAATAATATTACCACTTATTGAGTGTATGCTATGTGCTGCACACTGTGCTGGGTACTTAATGAATATTAGCTCATTTAATCCTCAACCATTTTTTGAGGTTATATCTTTACGTTTGTACTGTGGTATATTTTATGGATGTTTCCATGGGAAAGTAATTGGATAGAGAACGTAAGTAAAATTCAAATTAGTTAACTTAGCTACTTAGAGCTTTGGAAAAGTTTTGGTGGGGGAGAGTGTTGAAACTATATGATAAAATTAGATTTTTTTCATTATTAATCATTCATATCTTTTATTATGTATTATTTGATTATCTTAACCTTTTTTGGGTTTCTGTTCTGAACGTTTTTAGTTTCTTCTTTCAGTCAAAACTTAAATATGGTTAAGAAATTGTGATCTTGTTTTTATACATGTGGGATTAAACAGGTTTTCTTAAAGTATATCAGTGATGCATTTTCATTTACTTAGGTTTATGTTCCAAAGCCATTGTGCATGTCTGAGTCAAAACTATAATTTTAAACAAAAATCCAATTTTTGTTGCATTTTAAGCACTAATCTGTATGAATTAACAGGATTTCACGTCCATTGCAACCAGTTTTTCGGGGAATGGGTTATTATGTAACTTAGAGCTTTTACTGGATGTGGTAATGGCTTTGGGGACTTGCTTTCTTCTGTGTTATTTTTGAATCCATGATATAATGATTCATATTATGATGGACTTCTAATTTTACTTTTGTTTCTGATATAATGAAAGTTAATCGCAGAGAAAAGTTGTTCCATAGGCTCACTGATAGAATCATATGGCATCGTTAGTTGCATTCTTCCGTGATGAGAGTTGAACTGTGGGAAACAAATTTAAGAAAAGAGCTGATATGATAAAATATTCTCTTAATTTCATAAATCACACATTTTACGGAAAAGTATGCGTGTGTGTGGATTTTTTTTTTTTTAAACAATCCTCGTTTCTCATCACCATTTGCTCTCATTGCAGCAGATAATTGCCTCCCAGCTGATTTCAGCACCACTGTTTTGTAGCTCAGGTGTCAATTAAGTAGTCACTAGACTCAGGGCGTGACCTTTCTTTGCTTCCTTTCAGAACCAGAAGTTGTGAAGCTGCCATAGACTATGGAAAGTTTGATTTTGTTTTAATTTTATCTAACATTATCTTTATATTGTGGATATTTATGTAACAAATGTGATTAGAAGTGAAGTACAATACTATACTTTTTTCAGACTTTTCAAATGGATACTGTTTATTCAAGATTGACTAATCCAGTTGCCTGGATTTATTTATTTATTATTTTTTATAATTTTATTTATTTATTTATTTTCCCCCCAAAGCCCCAGCAGATAGTTGTATGTCATAGCTGCACATCCGTCTAGTTGCTGTATGTGGGACGTGGCCTCAGCATGGCCAGAGAAGCGGTGTGTCGGTGCGCGCCCGGGATCCGAACCCGGGCTGCCAGCAGCGGAGCACGCGCTCTTAACCGCTAAGCCACTGGGCCGGCCCGAGTTGCCTGGATTTAAAGTAAACTCCTAAGTCTTTATTTTCTGGTACCAACGTTAAAAACCAAAAAGGATGGCGAGGATGTGGGGAAGAAGGATCCACCCTGCTCTTATATAGATAACAGAAGGGAGTGGTTGTGCCATGGATCACTCTCTATATTGTTTTAAAGCCCTCATGCACTTTTGTGTGTGATCCACCTGGTGTGTGTATATATTTTATATATATGTAGATGTATGTTATCTTATCCTATTTGTGTTTCTCTTCTGCACCTGTTTAGTTTTTTGTTTAAGTCAATACTTTAATAAGATTAAGAAATTATGAGCTTATAAGTGAGCCAGTATAACAGTATTTAGGAGCTCAGAAGACAGAGAGCCAAGGTTTAAATCTTACTTTGGGCTTAATATTTCTGTGCCTCAGATTTCTTCATCTGTAAAACGGGAATAAGAATAACAACAGTGCCTATCTCATGGTGTTACTGTGAGGATGAAAGGAGTTAATACATGTACAAACTTAGAACAGTAACTGGTACATTATGACCACCACACAAAGGTATTTGGATACTCTTTATAGAATAATTTAGTCTTCTCAAGAGTGGCAACAATTATAAATTGGTTCAGTAAATATTTTAAGCTGGTCAGTACTGTTCAGCATTGTAATTTTTGGAACGTAATGTGTAGAGAACATTGTTCTAAGATTAAGAAAACGTGGTCCCAGTAATGTCTCTTACT